AGAAGTACTATTCTTAAATTAACCAATTTTCAGTTACTGTTTTATAATGGGTAGCTTTTTTTTTTTAGAATATGGGTAGTTTTTTTTAATAAAACATTGATGTCCACACTCGATTATTGGGAAAATTGTAAACTCGAGTCTTGACAGCATCTAAGTAATATTTTCAAATTCTAACGATACTCCCTCCATTTTTAAACGTGTGACACTGTTGACCTTTTTCATTCGTTTGATATTCGTCTTTTGTATAGACATTTGTGCAAATAGGCAAACTTACAATGCATGCTTAAAGTACTTTGCATGACAGATCTAGTAATATTTATTTCACTCTACCTATTGAATAAATATCGTTGATTAAAGTTTGAACATAAATTCAATTGTGCCATATATATTTTAAAAGGGCTGGAGAGTATTTCAGAGTACATTTCAAAACTTTAAGCTTTTTCCCTGATTTTTTTTTTTTTTTTGCCATTGATTGTCTATTTACTATAGGTATATTTGTAGTCGCGCTTAAAAGTTTTGTTCCCAAAGTGCCAGATTGAAAGATTACATCGTGTATCCACAGGATCGCTGCTATCGGTGAATGGCATTTACTCTACAGCGTGGCGAAGGACAAAGATGGCTTGTTGCAGCGAGAAACTGTCCGGGGCGTGTTCGACGGGAGTCTATTTGAGCGACTGCAAGACAGCAAAAAATCCTCCTGATGAATGGGTCAAGACGGGAGTTGTCCACCTCAAGAAGACTGAAAGTAGAAAAATTAGCATGTTATACGTGTCCTGCGCAATTTCTTAAAAAGGGTAATTTGAGTCGTCTTCAAATAAGAAATGCTTCTATATTGTAGTACATACATTCTTATAGTACAATATGGTCATCCTTATGTATTCGTGCTGTGTTATATGTGATTATTTAAGAGTCAGGACCTTCTCATGTTTATATCATGTCTAGTAAACTTCTCTTGTAATTTTTTTTTCTGAAGCTCATGTGTTCTAAATAGGCATGGAAAATGAAAAAAAATCCATGAATAGGAGTGAGCAAGAGAGGCGTTAAGAGCATTTCTAGTAAAAATTCTCTACTTAGGCCTCACTTTTGGGTGTTAGTAGACAAAAGGACTCGCTCCAGCATTAACTCCCTATTGAGGTTCCCAAAAGTAGGAGACCCTCTCTCATTCTTGCCCCTACTTTTCTATTTCTCCACTGTTTCCCTTCCCGCTCTCATCCGAATCTAACTCGTGCCCGATCACCTACACCCCTTCCTCCATCTCTGTCGACCAGAACTCGTTCCTCAGCCTGCTCTTCAACCACCGCACCTTTCCCCATCCAGCTCCACCACCCACGGGACCTTCCCCGGCCAGCTCCACCACCATACACCCTTTCTCGACCACCTCCACCACTTGTGCGCCCTCCCCTAGCTACCTATCCTGCCACGTGCCCTTTCCCAATGGTCTCCAACACCTGCATGCACTTCCCTGACGGTCTCCATCGTCCGCGCGCCCTTCCTGGCATTAAAACTGGATGTGCAAGCATATGTGTAGCAATGGGCTGGACGAGTGGCGGTGTTTAACAACAGTTGTGGTGGATCAAGTGGTGTAATGGGTTGAGGTAGAGGCTAGTGGTGGTGATGGTAATGGAGGAGATAATTGATGTATTACTATATATGTTTTATGTTTGTGGACTTAGTATTCTGATGAATTATGTGATATGATAAACAATGTTGTTTAAATTTGAATTAGGTAACATTATTGTTTGAATTTATGTCGGGTCAAATTGGTATTAGCTTTAAAGAACAAATTTAAAGCTAATACCTTCTGTAAAATACACATTAGTCATACTAAGTTTTGTTCATTAATCATCAAAGCTGAATTAGTAGCCTAGGTGCTTTTAGATATTCAAGGACCCACTAATTTGCATCAAGTACATACCTTCTAAACTCAATGACTTGAGTGCAAGGAGTTTGTGTCTATTTCCTAAGAGAAGATTGTGTAGAAACAAGATAAATTAGGTACCCAAAAAATTTTTTTATGTGGGTCCTACTTTATTAGTGTGATCTAGGGTTAAATACTTAAGAAGAAAAATGTCTTCTTTACTATAATAAAATAAACAATCTGTTTGATCTCTGAAAACAAGATTTTATTAGCTCAATATACTCCACTAAACTATCTCAAATGATCCAATAATTCAAATGAGATTCATTTTTTGTTTCTCCATGTATAAGTTGAGTTTTAAGTTCAAAATATGCGAGGAAATGAGAACATGATATTAGGTATAGAGTAGCAAACATGTCCTTGCATTGCAATGGAACTTATACCTTGCCGTGCAAACACTTGAACAACCTTGTTATGATGTCACTTGAATGACTTGTGGGCTTGTGGCTTGGAGATTTAGATAACGGCTGTGTCATGTGCTCCAGTAGCAATCTTTTTTTTCGAAATGCTGCAAAAGCTTTGGGAATTTTTATTAGATGGAAAAAGAGAGAGAGAAAAATTATAAGATTACAACTCGAGCCATGCTCGCTACTTTGACCCTTAGTCCAGCCACTCTACTTTGAATGTAGCTTGACAGAAAACAAAAACTGAAGGAAAAGAACTCCCCTGAAAAAAGAAAAACAAGGAAGAAGAAAAAACCACTATCTACTACTGGTGTGGCTGATTGATCTGCTAGTATGATCTTGTTGCCGCCTGATATTGCTCCACGTCTTTCTTGTATAAGAAGGCTACTTCCTTTGGTTGTAGACTCTTGTTCTCAAAAGTTCTTCTATTCCTTTCTTTCCATATATTCCACCATAAATAAATTATAACACCATCAAATGTTTTCCTCTGACTTTTGTCGATCTTAGTCCGGCATCTTCGCCAATAGCTGTGCAGAGATCCATTGATTCCGATGTTATCGATTACCGTCAAACCAAGCCACTGTTTTAGGAAGGCCCAAGCTTGTTTTGTGAAGTCGCGGTCTTTGCACAAGTGCGTGGGGTTTCAAGTTCATTACTGCAGAGTTTACATATCGGATCATTCGGCCAATGCCGTTTTATCAAATTGTTAGCCGTTAGGATCTTCTTATGTAGTAACGTCCATGCAAAGAACTCCAGTAGCAATCTCTATAATAGGAATCTTGCACCAAAAGTGGATGCAACATACTCAAGTGCCGGCCAGGAGAGATAGTTGTTACTTGTTACATCAAGCTTATTATCCATCTACCAACCTTATCTCGGCCTTTACAATCTCTGAATTTGTTGACCAGATTACGTACACCAAGGAACCGAACACACACAAGACCATGACACATTTAACAAGCTAGTCTTTGTAGGATGGATTTGGATTTCAATTGGACTTGTCTATTTATATTTGGATTTCAATCCATCGGCCACCAGTAGACCACCACACCTTCTTACATGTGACTCATAGGGAAATTCTATTTGTTTGTTACGTATCTAACAGGTTAGGTTACTTGTGGTGGAACTTTTTCAGCAGGTCTAAATTCAAGTCATTGGCTTGACATAGATGCTCATATTTCTAGGATTATCTCGTTGTTGACTTCATCAATTGTAGGACCATTCTCTCCTCTTAAGAGTAAGGTGTGTGTGCGCAAAAGTTTATAGAGATGAATGTACATGCATGTACGTGTGTCTATGTCTATTTTTTTCTGAGAGAGGCCACATTTTTTACAACTCCACTTCTATTCTTGTTCCCTTTGAGAAAAGCCACATCTTAAGGCTTACGTATTTCTTAGCACCAATAAGCATGTTTGAGGTTGTCTCTGTCCTAAAATATAAAGGGTTTTTAGTTATTTTATAATTAAATCAAATCATATTAAGATTGACTAAGTTTATGTAGCAGAATATTATTTTCTATCAATCAAAAGAAGTAAATTATAAAAATACATCATATAATATATCTAATGAAGCTCGATTTGCAAAAATATATATCTAATAAAGCTCATTTGATGTCATAATAATAATTATTATTCTCTATGAATTTGATCAAACTTATTAGGATGATTTGATTAAGAATGACTTAGATATATCTTAAGACCGAGCGAGTATACGAACCAGAAAAATGGCCCACATTTTAGCACGTGACATGGAAACGACGATAAATATTAAAATTGGTCGAGGCAGCCAGCATCAGGGACTGACACGTCCATCCTCCCACTCGCCGCCGGCACACGCCACGAACGTTGAGATGTGCACCCTACACCCTCCGAGAGTCCGAGTTTGGAAACCTAAGCACCCCTTTTGTTCAATCGTTTCGGACGCGTTCATATTTTTCTGAGGTTAAAAGGTAGTAGTAGCACTACTAAAAATGTGGTGGTGGACTGGTGGTTGTGGGGTGAGAACGATTGCGGGGGACAAGCAGGGCAACGTGCAAAGCGAAAGCGTGTAGGCCACTTACATTTGACATTAGTTGCTACCGCGACACGAATATGTACCCCTGGTCCCTGCAAGTGCCAACAACAGCCTAATGAAAATAAAATGAAAATGATTGGGGACGGCACACGGCAGCATCTCCGTGCACGTCAATGCAAATCAAAGTCACAAATCACACAAGCAAAGAGATCGCGTCACTCACACATCGGCCGTGTGTGCCCAGTTTATCGTGCCGTTGTAGCCCGGATCAAGGATTGGAAAATCAGTCATCGCAATGCAGTGCAGCAGTGGGCAAGCGGCGCCGAGTTCGATCACGTGAACTTGCTTGCGGTCCAGACTGACTGCGTCGTGACGAGGTTTCCCTTCTTCGGGCTCGGGCGGGTTTCTGTCCTGATGACACGACACACGTTACCACTTTCTGAGGGTTTCTTTTGGCAACAATCTGTGCTTCTCGTGGTGCCTCCCGCGGCCGTCCACGCGTGCTTGGCGGCCCTGTGCGCTGTTCTCCTGGTGGACGAGGCGGGCGGTGCACCGCCTGCGCCTGCGTGAGCGGTGCTTCAGTTGCCGCGCCGGCGCGCCACGAAGCTTTATAAAAAGCAAGCAGAGCGCACGTAGAGACATATACCATCAGCAGCTAGTAGCACATGACTCTGAGTCTGTGTGTGCAACTCGTTTCGAGGCTGCCCGCCGTCGCCGTTCTCCACCTCCGAAGGTACCTGATGCTACTACTTCCTGCCCCGCGCATCGCATCCGCGCTTTAATTTGCCGGCGTCGGTTCCGATTGATTCCTCGATACTCTCTGCGGGCGTCCGTCGTTTCATCCACTTGACGAACCCGATTTGTTCCGTTTGCTGTTCAATCCGCAGATCCTGCGAGTTCAGCCCGCGAGTGAGCATGTCGTCGTACTCCCCGCCGCCGCCGCCGCTGCCGGACCAGTCCCTGGACACGGAGGCACCCAACGCGCCCGTCACCAGGGAGCGGAGGCTCAACCCCGATCTGCAGGAGCAGCTCCCCAAGCCATGTACGCACCTCGATCACTCTGTTTCCTCCACTTTTCTGTTGCCTGTCAGCCTGTATGATGAATTGATGATCGTTGTGGCTACAAACTATACAGCAAAATAGGCATGGAGACAGTCAGACAGCACTAGCTGTTTCTTTCGTTCAAAAAAAGACAGCGCTACCTGTTTCCTGATTAGGAGAGCCGTAATCCATATATAGTGCATTGATTTCGTTTTCTTTTCGTCCCTCTCTCCCGGTTCGCAGATCTCGCGAGAGCTCTGGAGGCGGTGGATCCGAGCCACCCGCAGGGGACCAAGGGGCGCGACCCCCGCGGCATGAGCGTGCTTCAGCAGCACGCCGCCTTCTTCGACCGCAACGGCGACGGCATCATCTACCCATGGGAGACGTTTCAAGGTACGTGGCACGGTTGGTTGATCAGTCATCACTGGGATGGCAGTGCTAGCTGATGAGAGAAGGCTGTGTGACTGATTCAGCAGTAGTAGTACCGATGATGTTTGTGTTGTCAGTGTCTGTCTGACTTTTGCTCGATGGGCTTAGGATTTTCTGTCTGTGTCTGTCTACTACTTTCAAAAGGATTTGAATTTTCAGACAGACACTGATAGAGAATTCAAATCCTAAACCCTACTGCTGCTGAATCGGTACTTGTTGGCCCATCGAGCAAAAGTCACTTCTACTTTCAGCACTGCTGCTGAATCGGTACTGATTCAGCACTACTGCTTAGGATTTGAATTTTCTGTCTGTGTCTGTCTACTTTCAGGCCTGCGAGCAATAGGATGTGGACTCCCTGTATCATTCGTGGGCTCGATACTGATCAACCTCTTCCTCAGTTATCCCACTCAGCCGGTAAGGTTCTCTCACGGCCTCTTTCATGTACCTGCATGTTTCCTTTCTGAAATCTGCGGTACCTTTGCGTTACTGGGCAGCCCCACCCCTCAGACATTCAGCTCTGGAAGAGTCTTGGCTGTCTCGCCACTTCCTTTTTTATTAGTATTTATTAAAGAAAGACAGGTCTTGTCAATCTCTGTGCAAAAGAAAAGCTCTTGTAATCAGATGCTCTTTCTGAATTTAGGGATGGTTACCTTCTCCTTTGCTGTCCATCCATATAAACAACATCCACAAGGGTAAGCACGGGAGTGATTCTGAAACTTATGACACTGAAGGGAGGTACGTGTAGTACACTAGTACGCCTAACACACTCCTTACTGTCTCAGGCTATGACGAAAGATTTAGTGTCTATCCAGCCATAACTAGTCTATACTTGCTTTGATTTTGCACAGGTTTGATCCATCAAAGTTCGATGCTATATTTAGTAAGTATGGTCGAACTCATCCTAATGCTTTGACAAGAGACGAGCTGGGCTCAATGCTTCAAGGAAACCGCAATACGTATGATTTCCCTGGCTGGTAAGATATAGTTCAACTATCAATGTTTCCGTCTACCAGTTCTATTTTATTTTCTGAATGTTTTATGATTTCGTTCTTGCAGGATGGCCGCTGCCGGTGAATGGCTCTTACTCTACAGCTTGGCAAAAGACAAGGATGGCCTGTTGCAGCGTGAAACTGTCCGTGGTCTATTTGATGGGAGCCTATTTGAGCGACTCCAAGACCACAACAGCAAGAAATCGTCCTGAATGAGCTGAGGGTTGTTCAGCTCAAGAAAGGGCTGGCAGTACAAAACTACCAGATTATACCATTGGTCGTGTTCAAATAACAGATGCTTCGGCTTTGTCCAACAGTCATTAACTTTTTGTGTTGGGATTTGTTTATATGTGTGTTGTGCCACCAGTTTCTTCTCCTTTTGTCTCACACAGGTACTGAATTGGTACGCCTGTGTTTTCTAGTGTTCATGCTGAAGCTATATTATAAGCTGAAAAATGTGCGTTTGAAATTGATTGGCAAAACTGTTATGTTGGTCTTGAAATCTGAATTTCCTTTTTACTGAAATTCACGCTCTCTAAACAAACTCTAAGGAAAAAATTATATTTATCCGAAATATCAGTAACAAAATAATAAGACGTCAATAGTAGCCATTATTTTCTGTGAACAAAGGCATTGTTTTACAATATTTGCTATGTACCCATGTATACAAGAAAAATGCTTGACGTACCATCCAGTTTATCCAACGTACTTACAACAAGGCAATACAAGGCATCTATATCTCTTATAAACTATAAGTCTGTCTCAACAAACAAGCCATCTACATCACCCCTAACTGTCAACAATATCTTCACTAATAGCCATGTTATTCCACTAACTTTCAATGTCTTAATGCAAGCTATCTATATTAGCTCCACTTATTTTCATTTTAAATTCTTCGTAATTTCCGTAGGAACGTGCGTGGTATCTTCTAGTTTGATTTAAAGTGAACCACCAACTAAGGGACTCGTTATTTGTTATCATGGCTGTAAAATTTGTGTTGTATATTCTATCTAAAACGCTCTGTTCCAATAAATAATAATGCATCAAAAAATGATTTCTATTGAATTTACTTAAATCTGCATAATGTTTTTTTTAGTTTGAAACATTCAACACACTGTCTTTTCATTAGTTCGTCTGGCTACGCCAGCAAACCGACTGAGAAAATTAGTCTCGTAGCATTAAAAGATTGTACTCACTCCATCCTAAATTATTTAAGACGTTTTGGCATCTCTAGATTCATAACACTAGGAGTCTAGACATATTATATATTCAGATATGTAGCAAAAAATTATGAATCTAGAAAAAATAAAATAGCTTATAATTTAAAACGAAGAGAGTATTACCATGAATGTACCATTAAAACGTTTAACATTTGCTACACACCATTAAAATTTAAAAGTTACAATGGTATAGTTTTTTACCACTCCATCGACTCCTATTACAAAAGCACGTAATTTCCAATAAGGGAGTAGATATACTCGTTGGATCGTTTCGACTATGTTGGCTTAGGGTGGTTCATCTAAGCAATTAGTGGCGTAAAGTTGTTAGTTGTTTAGTTGGTATAGCGAAGTGGTACGAGATGACTATGTACTCTCCTTAGTTTTTAGACATGGTTTTACTAAAAAGTTAAGCTGATACTTACTCCCTGTGTCCACGAAGAATACAATTCTACCACAATATCAAGCTAATAATTTGAAATGAATGGAGTAGATGTCAGTGGAGTTGAGTTACTCTTTGGGCCATTTTGACTAACTTGGCTCAAGGTAGTTCAATTTAAGCAATTAGTGAAGTAAAGTTGTTAGGCGTTCGGTCAGTGGTGCGAGATGAGTGATGTATTGTCTCTAGTTTTTAGACATGGGTTGATTAAAAAGTTAAGCTCATATGGTACTCTCCCTCGTACACCAATGAATACAAATCTAGCATAGTATCAAGTTAAGTACCTTAAGTTTGACTAATTATAAATTAATATGAATATTTACAATAGTAAATAAGTACATTGTATTTGTCAAAAGATTTATTTTCATATTAGTTTATTTGGTGTCATAAATATTAATAATTTTACTGATATATTTTATTCAACTTTAAACAAGTTAACCAAGATTACACCTACAATTACATTGTTTCGTGGGTAGAGAATTAGAGATAATATTTTTTATCTTCGTCTAATAAAAATCGTAAGCAAATAAAAACACATGTCATCGTTACTCCCTCTGTCCCTAAATATCTATCGTTTTCGAGAAACAACTTTGACTAAATATATAAAAAAAATATTAATATTTACGATACATAATTAATATCATTAGAAAGATATTTGAATCTAGTTTTTTAATAAATTTATTTAAAGATACAAATGTTGCACGCATTTTTCACAAATCAAGTAAAACTTACGGCACGCACACCAACGACAACAATTATTTAGGCCCTGTTTGGTTCTTTAATCCATGGACTAGAGAATAAAACAGTGACTAGTCCCTTACCCTGTGTGGTTCAAGGGACTAAAGACCATTAAGACACATGAACAAAGACCAAAATGCCCCTCAATGGTCGACTCCTTCCGCATCCGCGAGGCCCGCGTTCGTAGCGCTTCTTCCCTAGCTCCATGGCCGGCCGGCGGTGCAACTCCAACACTTCCTCCCGCGCCCTTGTGCTCGGCCGCATGTGCGCTCCGGCGCGGGCATGAGCACCGTGCGGGCGGCCTCCAGGCCCCTCGCCGGCGCGAGCTCATCTCCAGCGGGCGCGCAGGCCATCCTCGGCGGCGCGAGCTCCATCCTCGTCGGTGCGAGCTCCATCCCCAGCAGGCCGGCCATGGAGTGCGGCGTGGCGGGCGAGGTGGCCTGAGGCTGGCGCGGGGAGGAGAGAGAGTCGTGCGGGAGAAGAGAGAGAGAGGGAGAGGTATGGATTGTCCTTTTTGACAGAAGTCCCAAATAGCTTCACTCAAAGGATTACTGAACCAGAGACTCATAAGTCCATTCTATTTCGTAAACTAGAAACTAGAAAGAACTAAAATAAGCTCACTGGTCTCTAGTCCCTTAGCCTTTAGGGACGGATAGAGTATACTTCTCCGTCCCACAAAAAATATAAAACTCGTTTTTTAAGGCCACATTAGTGAAGATGTAAAATTACACATGTACTCTGGCTGTCTCCTTCTCAACACACACATAGAACTTAAAAGAACCCTATATAATCTTTACTGGAAGTGCAGAGTTAACCTGATTTTCTAATTACATGTGTATTTTTTATTGGCTTATCTCCAACCTAGATTTGTATGTTTTTGACCAGATTTAAACCACGTGATCACATGTTTTTTTTAAAGAAGTATCTAAAAAAAGAGAAAAAATCATGTGCTGTCCGTACGGGAGCCGAAATGTTCCCCACACGGCCGGCGGCGCGTTGGCCAACGTCCAGTTCCATGTCGGCCACCGCGCTCTTCCTTCCTGCAAACCAAAGCTCCACGTCTAGTGCCGCTAGCACTCTCCGGCAACCTGCGCCGGCTTCCACCTCCGCAAAGCTCCACTTCCCGCTCCGCCTCCCTCACCATGCCCGCGCTAGAACTTATCGCCCCGCCGCGTTCGGGAGGGGATCGCCTGTGTCCGGCCGTAGAGAGAAGGACCACTACGCCACGCTGAACATCCGCCGCGACGCCACGTTTCAGGAGATCAAGGCTACCTACCGGATTCTCGCCCGCAAGGTGCTGTTCGCTTCCCCTTCCCCTTCCTACCGCGTTTAGATTGGTGTTGCGTTGTATTAATTTCCCTACTGTTCTTAATTTGAGCCATCTGCATAGTTTCTAGACCCTAATGCTGGGATGTGGGAAGTAGTACCATTTTTAAGAGTTTACAAAGTAATCTCCAAATTTGTCATTTTTTCCTGGTGACTTATCACTCATGCCGTGTTGGATCAGTTTTTGACATGTCTATAGTTAGTGCCAAAGCTACATACATTGAACATATTTCCCTGGTTTTCTTTCGGCTACAGTACCATCCTGATATGAATAAGAGTCCTGAAGCAGAAGAAAAGTTCAAGGAGATCAGTGCTGCATATGAGGTAATCTTCTGCCTGTGGCTTCAGCTGAAGTGCTGAAGGAGAACAACACTAGAACATGCTGAGTATTAGATTAGTTTAGCAAGATGTGGTTATTTTCTATTAGATTAGTTTAATTATAACCTGATTGATGCAATTTATCTATGATTTTAGTATTACCTAAGTGGTAGACATTAATCTGCTCTATCAACGTGGACATGTTTTGTGTAAAATGTGATGGATCTCAGAATTGAACTGGAGCGGCAATCCCTTAAATCTTTTGCAAGACCTAAAAAAAATGACAGGCTCTCTAAATGTCTCATGATCTCACCATGATTTTTGTGTACCTGATTTCCGGTTTATGCCCCTTTATCTGATATAGTTTGAATTTCATCTTAAAGGAAGACAGTGAAACTTTACAAACCTGGTTTATCAACAATATCCTGGAATCATAATGAAATTTACTTTGTATTTAACCAGTGTATTTAGAATGTTGGTTAGTTCACTTGGCTGCTTCTACAGAATATACATGAGCAGAACACTCACAATTGTGATACTCTCTCCAGTCATTATTACTTTACATTTCTTACAGCAAAATACAACTAACTTCAGGACAACTTAGCTGTCTGAAGTTTCAATTGATATTGACTGCAGGTAGTATTTGATGTTGCAATCAGATGACCATCCTTTTATGTGATCTGTATTATTATCTTCTTCAGGTTCTATCTGATGAAGATAAAAGATCTTTATATGATCGCTTTGGAGAAGAGGGGCTCAGTGGTGATTACAGAGATGGAGATATTGGCACACATGGGGGTACACAATTTATTTAGCACTAAGTCATTTTCCTTTTTGACCAGTTTGATTCCTATATTGGCCAATTGGGGTATAAATCTATTTTCCTTTAGATGCTCTTTTTTCTCTAGCCAACATCTTCTTTTTTACTATTATTTATTGGATATCGCATCTCGAGGCGGCTCGTTAGTAACATTTTCCTTTTATTACGACCTAGAGGGGTTTGATTTTCAATCTATATTGGCCATGATCATGATGTAAATAGGTTATAAATCTATTTTACATTCCTTTAGATGCTCTTAGCTAGATATGGCTCTCGCCAACATCTTCTTTTCTTTGCTATTATGCTGACTAGGTCTCGCAACGCACGGATGTAAACGCGGCCCGCGCTTTAGGCGGGATATCGCGCGCGATGCATCTCGTGGCGGGATAGCGGATCGAGGATCATGTACACCATTCAATAAAGAGAACAAAGCAAGTCGGCAACGCCCACGGCTAATCGTTCTCTCTTTTTGCGTTATGTGTGTGTGCGTGTTAGAGAACCGAGAGCTCGGCGTTGCCGATCGCCGTCGTGATAACCCATTCCGAGCTGCGGCGTCAACATAGCTTCGGTTTCGGCTCGTTATCGAGCTCGAGTGCGCTCGTTTAGCTCATGACTACTACAAAAAATAGGGCGCACATGTTTATAATGTTTATGCTACATTAATTCCAGAAGGTGACGTCCACCATTATGCAACCATACATGATTAATACATATCAGGTTCATCAAAAGTATCAACCATGCAACATAGCTGGTCCATCCATGATCATGCAGTTCCAGCATACTAACGTGTTGCTTGTCACCACAAACTTAGGAAAGCTCACAGATTCAATGTCAGCATCATCATCTTCTCCCTAGAAAACAATCCATAAAATCAACATTTAAGTACCACAACAATTATAAAATTAAAATTCATATGAAACAACTGAAAATAAGGATTACATACCAATAGAATAGGTGTACACTTCTAGGTCAGCATCATCATCTTCTGGATTCATGGTCGTGGACTGATAGGCCTCAGCTCGTTTCAGCTCGCGAGCTGGCTCGTTAAAATAGCGAGCTAGACTTTCAGTTCAACTCGTGAAAAAGTTAAAACGAGCCGAGTATATTAGGCAAGTCTATGTGTGATTAGCTATGATTAACACCTGCTATGTACACTTGATTGTATTCCTTGTATACCCAACCATATTGGCTATATATATGAAAGTCACCCCCCATATTGGGTGTGAGGTGTGTCTTTACATGGTATCAGCCTATCAGATCATATTTTCCCCATGGGCCCCTGGCTTTGCTACAATCCATGGGCGCCACAGGGCCCTCCTTCGGCTCAGCAGGCCGGCTGGCGCCCAGGCGTGCTTGGCGCCCCTCCTCCTCAGGCTCACACGGCCTTCGCGCCTCCGCAGCCCCCCACGACATTTGCGTTGCTCCACGTCTCTCCACCAGCTCCCATGTGGAACCAGGATGGTCTTGTCGCTGCACTCAATCAGATGCATCTCTAGGGCCAGCATCCTTGGGTCCTGGATTCCGGCGCCTCCTCCCACATGAGCTCCTCGGATGGTATACTCCTCTCTCGTCATCCTCCTCCTCACTCTTCCATTACAGTTGGCAATGGTGCACATCTTCCTATTACATGTCGTGGCAAGTCTGTTCTTCATACACCAGCGTCCAATTTTCATCTTAATAATGTCTTAGTTGTCCCATCTCTAGTCTGCAATCTGCTATCTGTCCGTCAATTTACTAGGGACAACAACTGCTCTATAGAATTTGACGCTCTTGGTTTTTCTGTCAAGGATATCCCGACCCAACCCGACGCGTGATGCTTCGCTGCAATAGTGTTGGTGATCTTTACACCTTCCCTGCTGCATCTTCCGCTCCACACGCCAGCATTGCCATCTCCACTGACCTCTGGCATCACCGTCTTGGTCATCCTAGCTCCGCCACCATCGACATTCTTCGTCGTAATGCGTCCATCAGCTGTAATAAAGTAGAGCAACTGCTATGTCATTCTTGTCAGCTTGGCAAACATGTGCGCCTCCCTTTTTCAGATTCCAGTTCATATACTTCCATGCCTTTTGAATTTGTTCACTGTGATGTATGGACATCCCCGGTTGCAAGTGTATCCGGGTATCAATATTATCTCGTTTTACTTGATGATTTTACTCATTTCTGTTGGACCTTTCCCCTCACTCGCAAATCTGAAGTCTCCATACATATTGCAAATTTTTGCAATTATGTCCACAATCAATTCAGCCTTGCCATCAAAGCTGTCCAAGCCGACAACGGCACTGAGTTCGTAAACAATACCCTCCATACTCTCTTTGCTTCCCGTGGTATTCATTTACGCCTCTCGTGTCCATATACCTCCCAACAAAATGGCAAGGCTGAACGTCTTCTTCGCACATTGAACAACATCAGTCGCACGATGCTCCTCCATGCACACATGCCTGCTCAGTACTGGGCTGAGGCGCTCGCCACAGCCACATACCTTCTGAATAGGCGTCCATGCTCCGCTGTTCGCCATGGCATTCCATATACTCTCCTTCACAACAAACCTCCCGAGTACTCCCACTTACGTGTCTTTGGGTGTCTCTGTTATCTGAACTTGACCGCCACGGCTCGCCACAAACTCTCTCCTCGCTCCACAGCATGTGTTTTTCTCGGCTATCCATCTTCCCACAAGGGGTACCGCTGCCTCGACATGGCCACTAAGCGCGTCATCATCTCTCACCATGTGGTCTTCGATGAGACTTGTTTTCCCTTCGGGCTTTACCCCTCCAGGCCCTCGCCAAGCGACCTGGATTTTTTGCTTGCAGGTACTACAGTCTGCGGTCGTCCTGCACCTTTGCCCTCTGTTCTTTGGGCACACATCCCGGGCCATTGAGGAGCGACCGGCGACCCCGCCATCTTGATCCCACGGCCTCAGCACTTCATGCTTTGCTCCACCAATGAGCAGCTCCACCACCTGTTGCTCCACCAGCCGCTAGCTTCTCCTCCGATGGCTGCCCCTCGGCTGGCTGCCCATGGGACATCCGGCTTGTCTCATGCCCGGCGTCCTGGCGCATGATGGATCCTCCTCTGACACCGAGGATCGGCTCGCGCATCACGATTCGCCAAGACCTCTCGCCCTGCTCAAGCGAGCTCTCGCCTCTGACAACCGGCCATCTCTGCTCTGTGTAGCAGCCAACGGCGCCCGCAGCTCCTTCGGCACCTCCCGTACAGCAGGAACGACGCATCACGCGGACCCAGTCTGGGGCCATACCAGTTATGCGGTATGTGGGGCTCTCTGCGACAACCACTCCGTCTCCACTTCCCTCCAACTACCGTAGCGGTTTGGCTGATCCAAACTGGCGTGTGGCCATGGCTGAGGAGTACAAGGCGCTCATCGACAACGGAACATGGCGCCTCGTGCCCCGGCCACCCGGCGCCAACGTGGTCACCGGCAAGTGGATCTTCAAGCACAAGTACCACTCCGATGGTACCCTCGCCCGCCACAATGCTCGCTGGGTGGTTCGTGGCTTCTCCCAGCGCCACGGCATCAACTACGACGAGACATTCAGCCCGGTGGTCAAACCAGCAACCATCCGGGCTGTCCTCAGCATTGCTGCCTCCCGCTCCTGGCCTATTCATCAGCTAGACGTCAAGAACGCTTTTCTCCATGGACATTTGGAGGAGACCGTCTACTGCCAGCAGCCCCCAGGCTTCGTCGATACTGTTTTTCCTGATCATGTGTGTCTGTTGCAGCGCTCCCTCTACGGCCTCAAGCAGGCTCCCCGAGCCTGGTACCAGCGTTTTGCGACATACATTCGCCAGCTCGGCTTCGTCGCCTCGGCTTCCGACACCTCCCTCTTTGTCTACACAGACGGGACTAGTATCGCCTACCTGCTTCTGTACGTCGACGACATCGTACTTACTGCGTCCTCGACGGCATTTCTGCAGCAGATCATTAGGCGTCTCCACTCAGAGTTTGCCATGATTGATCTAGGCGCACTCCATCACTTTCTCGGCATCTCCGTCACTCGCTCCGCCGACGGCTTGTTCTTATCACAGCGACAGTACGCCGTTGAACTTGGCCGCCATGGCTCGCCACAAGCTCTCTCCTCGCTCCACAGCATGTGTTTTTCTCGGCTATCCATCTTCCCACAAGGGGTACCGCTGCCTCGACATGGCCACTAAGCGCGTCAACATCTCTCGCCATGTGGTCTTTGATGAGACTTGTTTTCCTTCGGGGCTTTACCCCTCCGGTCTCCTCGCCAGCGACACGGATTTTTTGCTTGCGGTACTACGGTGGACGGTGCGTCCCCGCACCTTTGCCCTCTCTCTTCTTTGGGCCATCACATCCCGGTTTCATTGAGGAGATGACCGATGACCCGCCATCTTGTTCCACGGCCTCAGTATTTCCTGCTTTGCTCCACCGGCCAGCAGCTCCACCACCCTTTGCTCTCTCCAAGTGGCTGCCCCTCCGGTTGCTGTCCATGCGGGACATCCGGCTTGTCTACAACCGGCGTCCACAGGCGCATGATGGATCCTCTACAAGACCAGATCGGCTCTGCATCTCGCTTTCGGCAGCCTCCGCCCCTGTTCGGCGAGCTATCGCCTGTCTGACCGGCTCTCACGCTGTCAAACAGCGACCAGCGGCGCCCGCGGCTCCTTCAAGACCTCCCGTCTGGCGAGAACGACGCATCACGCGGACCCAGTCTGGGGCCATACCGGTTATGCGGTATGTGGGGCTCTCTGCGACAACCACTCCGTCTCCACTTCCCTCCAACTACCGTAGCGGTTTGGCTGATCCAAACTGGCGTGCGGCCATGGCTGAGGAGCAAGTGGATCTTCAAGCACAAGTACCACTCCGATGGTACCCTCGCTCACCACAACGCTCGCTGGGTGGTTCGTGGCTTCTCCCAGCGCCACGGCATCGACTACGACGAGACATTCAGCCCGGTGGTCAAACCAGCAACCATCCGGGCTGTCCTCAGCATTGCTGCCTCCCGCGCCTGGCCTATTCATCAGCTAGACATCAAGAACGCTTTTCTCCATGGACATCTGGAGGAGACCGTCTACTGCCAGCAGCCCCCAGGCTTCGTCGATACTGTTTTTCCTGATCATGTGTGTCTGTTGCAGCGCTCCCTCTACGGCCTCAAGCAGGCTCCCCGAGCCTGGTACCAGCGTTTTGCGACATACATTCGCCAGCTCGGCTTCGTCGCCTCGGCTTCCGACACCTCCCTCTTTGTCTACAAAGACGGAACCAGTATCGCCTACCTGCTTCTGTACGTCGACAACATCGTACTTATTGCGTCCTCGACGACATTTCTATAGTAGATCATTGGGCGTCTCCACTCAGAGTTTGCCATGACTGATCTGGGCGCACTCCATCACTTTCTCGCCATCTCCGTCACTCGCTCCGCCGACGGCTTGTTCTTATCACAGCGACAGTACGCCGTGGAGCTCCTTCAACGCGCCGGCATGGCTGAGTGTCACTCTACGACGACACCTGTTGACACTCATGCCAAGCTTTCTGCCACCGCCGGTGCCCCTGTTGCTGATCCGTCCGCGTACCGGAGCCTTGCTGGCGCACTCCAGTACCTCACGCTGACCCGTCCTGACTTGGCATACGCCGTCCAACAGGTGTGCCTCTTCATGCATGATCCCCGTGAGCCACATCTCTCGATGATCAAGCGGATTCTACGCTACCTGAAGGCCACTCTCTCCTCCGGCCTCCACATTGGTGTCGGCCCTGTTCAGTCCCTGGTCGCCTACTCCGATGCCGACTGGGCTGGCTGCCCAGACTTTCGGCGCTCCACCTCCGGCTATTGTGTCTACCTCGGCGACAATCTGATTTCTTGGTCCTCCAAGCGTCAGACCACGGTCTCCCACTCCAGTGCAGAAGCAGAGTACCGTGCTGTTGCTCATGTGGTGGCTGAGTGTTGCTGGCTGCGCCAGCTCCTGCAGGAGCTCCATGTTCCCATTGCTTCGGCGACGGTTGCCTACTGCGACAATGTCAGCGCTGTCTACATGACAACCAATCCCGTTCATCATCGTCGCACGAAGCACATTGAGATTGATATTCACTTCGTCCGTGAGAAGGTCGCCTTGGGCCAAGTTCGGGTCCTTCATGTGCCGTCCTCTCACCAGTTCGCAGACATCATGACCAAGGGCCTTCCTGTACAGCTATTTACTGAGTTCAGGTCCAGTCTATGCGTCCGGGATCCTCCCGCTTAGACTGCGGGCGGGTATTAGGCAAGTCTATGTGTGATTAGCTATGATTAGCATCTTCTATGTACACTTGATTGTATTCCTTGTATACTCAGCCATATTGGCTATATATATGAAGGTCACCCCCCCCATATTGGGTGTGAGGTGTGTCTCTACAGAGTCGACCCGAGCTGAGCCGGCCACGAGTCGAGCGAGTTGGCGAGCCGCGAGTATTTTGTCTAGCCCTACTGGCAATTGTTGTTAAAGTGCATTTATGCCCACCAGTTGATGTAATAGCAGTAATTGATGTCGGAAACTCATTGATTGAGAAAATGGAAAACTGCTAGTTAGTAGAGGGGTCATAGTTTGATTTTTTTATTGACTTGACCTTTGACATTTTGTTTGATTTTGCAGATTGATCCATATGAACTCTTCAATGCATTCTTTGGTGGTTCTGACAAGCTTTTTGGGGATAGTATGGGCTCTGGGGGATTTCATTGTAGCGCAGAAGCAAAGGGCACTAGGGCACTTAATATCAGGTAACACTTTCAACTTAGCACCAGATCAGAATGTTAGATCTTGAATAGCTGTTTACAACTCGTTTTCTACTTTACAGCTATAATCTGCTCCTTTCTTTTGAAGAATCCATCCTAGGAGGCAAACGTGAAATCAATGTTTTTCGCCATGAAACATGTGGCACCTGCCATGGAACTGGAGCTAAATGTAGCAATGACATTACAGAATGCACCCAATGCAGAGGTCAAGGCAGGTTGATGAAAACTCAAAGGACACCTTTTGGTATAGTTTCTCAGGTGAAGTAGTTGTTTCTTCATGAAATATGGTTTGTCAGTTATTTTCTATATTCACCTTCATTGCTAACTGGACCAATATTCATTACCATCATGGATGCTAAATTTACTTATACCGCCAGTACAAACCGTCGTCTTAGAACAAATTTTAATACTCTAACCATGACTGTACTTTCTCCCATGAAAATGTTATTAATGGATTTATCATCTGAATATTGTTTTGCTAAATCCAAATGAGAAGAACTAGCAACAAAATGTCTGATATTACTTGGTGCGTGTAACCTATTTAACATTGTCACTAACTTGCTGTTTGCTCCATTTTTCATAGTTTTATTTCCTGAAGTTCGACATAATATAGCTTATGCAATATCTTATGTTATTGCATTCTGTAGATATCTTCATGCTTAAATTGTGAAGGCAGGAGGAAGGTAATTACTGAACATTGCACAGAATGTTATGGTTCAGGCAGAGTCCAAGTTGAACGCATTATCAAAGTAGATATACCTGGAGGTATTGATGATGGCTCCACCATTCGAATTCATGGTGGAGGTAATGTTGATAAGCAAAGGCAAGCATTGGTCAGCTGTTATATAATCTCTTGGATCCATGCATCATTTGTGTAGTTTGTTATATGTTTGATTTGAGTGTTACTTATTTAAAGCCACGCCATTGAAATCTTTACAAGTTGGCAAAGGTGGTGATTGAGTTGCATAACTGAGTAATACCACCTGGATGAAATATTAGCCCCGTTTCAGTTGTTACTAAAATGGGTACATGACCACACTTATCTCATTTAAATAGACACCCACCAGAATTACATGCTAATGATTTAAGATCCACCTATGGTAATAGATGCAACCATTACATGTTATGCATTTCTGTCTTATTGTGCAGGGGTGCAAGTGGTGACCTGTATATATTTGTTCGCATTAATGAAAAACAAGGCATCCACAGAGATGGTCTCAATTTGTACTCAGATGTTTCAGTTGATTATACTGATGCGATTTTAGGAACCACAGTGAAGGTTAGCTGTTAATGGTCAAAGACCCCATTCATACTATGCCTTGTGTACCTTTTTTTTTCTCAAACACGCCGGAGAGCTGTGTATCACTATATTAAGAAGAAATATGCCTTGTATAACAATATCATGTGTTGTCAAAATAAATACGAAATTGACGTGTGTTTGATAAACTCAAGTCTAACTTATGTTAATTCCATAGTTCTGGCAATATTCTCATTTAGTTCTAGCAAACCTCCCAGTTCAGCTTAACCTAGCAAGGAAGTTTATGTTTTCAGGTTGAAACAATAGGACCCAAGGATCTTCACATTCCTCCTGGAACTCAGCCTGGAGAGAACTTAAAATTTTCTCAACTGGGAGTTCCAGACATTAAGAAGCCTAATGTCAGAGGAGATCACTACTTCATGATAATGGTGAAGCTCCCGAAGAGTATCAGGTTTGAATTGCCGGCACTTTCTAACAGCTCAAGGAAGGATGTTGTATTTACAATCAACAACCTGACGAGTTTGATGTTTTCTCCAACTTCAGCTATTTTCCGTTCTTGATGAAATTGCGTGCAGCTCTCCTGCGTCGTTAAAAAAAAATCAGCTATTTTGTTGTTTTAACGTCCAGAAGTACTAAAACCTAACCAATTCATCGTTGGAGAGGGGCCAAAACACAGATATCCAACATCAGATAGCTATAACCTTGTTGTTTTTCCCTTATTACACCCTTTAATACCATAGCTAATATATCATGGAACGAAGTGTAAATGCCCCCCCACCCACATACACACAATACACACATTGCCCCCTCGCCTCTGGCCACGCCTACCACTAGTCCACTAGGCATAGCGGTTCCTCTGTTACGAGCTACAGATAATTGGAAATCTAGTCTGGCAGAAGCATTTCTTCTTGTGTTATGGTGTTACCATGTTAGCATGAGTTTGTGTGCTTTTGTAAGGGATCTTACCCCGTGTTTTGTTCTCTTCTTAATATAATGATGCGCAGCTCTCAGCGTGTTCGAAAAAAAAAAACATGTTAGCATCCCAAATATGGTCTCGATTCATATTTGACTTTTGGTGTATAACTTCTGACAGTTATTTTGACTTCTACAGTGGCCAGGAACGTTTGCTAGTTGAAGAGCTTGACGCGCTAAAGAAAGCTCAGAATATCTCAGTTCCAGGTGAAGTTTAATCTTTTTTCCTGAGTTATTGTAGTTTGCATCTGTCTCATGGGTTGACTCCTGAGTCCTGAGCCTGTTTTGTGCCTTTTCTTTGGCTTATTTAGAAACTACAAAAATAGAAAATTTTCGGGAGAGAAACCATCATCCATCTGCAAAGAGAAGATCATTCTGGGGATCTATCTGGAATTTGTTCAGGTAGACATCATTTCTCATTATTTTTTCTTGTCATGAAATGTAAGTAGGCCTATACTGATTACGCCAATATTATTTGCTTTGTATTGATCTGCCAAGCTAGTTGTTTAGTAACCAGGGCATGACGAAAAGGACAGACTTGGTGCTCTTCGAATCTGTGATTGTTCCTTTTCTTTTCTTTTTTTTTTTGGAAAAAATGCTATTTAAAGGCAAAGGACATATTTATATGTGGTTCAGATGCCTAGCTTATCTACTACATTTGCCCTGTTCGCTTGGCTGATAAGTCATGGCTGAAAGTACTGTTGGCTAATTTGTTGTGAGAGAAAAATATTGTTCGTTGGCTGAAAAAGTACGGCTTATAAGCCAAGCGAACAGGGCGAATTGCCCTTATTCTGCAAAACTTGAATCCACTTTTGATAAGCCTATTTAATAATTCCATTCATACGATTCTAGGGATGATAAAGGCGATCAGAGATTTGCTTCAATCAGTGCTCAACCTATTATCCCAGGATGGAATTCTGGCCGAGGAACTGATACTGCTGTTCTCTTGCTGTTAAAAGGACTCCTCATGACCGCAGCATTCTTATTTGTAATCAGCAGAACCAGTAAACTCAAGTACATTCGGAAGTGCGTTGACCGTCCAACTCAAGCCAAAATACCTGTAGAGCCGAGTGAATTTCTGTTGTCCTCATTTCTGAACGTTAACGACATCACAGTTTTGGTGATCATCATTTCATAGTTTTGCCGCGCAAAGCTTTTGTTCTGGGCAAAGAACCCATCCAGGCCGGCTTTGCTTGTAGTGGATGGTGTAACAGGTTAACAACGGTGACAGAGAATGATATGGACTGCTTCTCATTAGTCATTTCTTGATTCATTATTTCAATATGTAGAAGACACTTGCAGCAATTTTGAGTTTTGACGAAAGCTAGAGGAAAGACATGAAGGAACATGGCTGTGGGCTAATGTACACTGTATGCATCTTGTCTGCACAAAGTTTTGTAATCTTCCGGGCTTGATATTTGTCTAACGATTTTGTTGCAAACAACAGTTCTGACGTGAGACTAACTTCTGCAATTGGCCGATGGCAATGGGTATATTGATATATAGGTCTTATTTAAATCCATGAGCTAAAATCTAGGGGTGTCATATCAGGTATCACATATGAGTGTTCGGATAGTAATAATAAAACAAATTATAGAAGTCCTCGGTATTCCGTGAGACGAATTTATTAAGCCTAATTAATCTATCATTAGCATATGTTTACTGTAGCTTCGTATTGTCAAATCATGGACTAATTAGGCTTAAAAATTTATCTTGCAAATTAGTCACGGTCTGTGCAATTAGTTATTTTTTAAGTATATATTTAATACTCCATGCATGTGTCCAAATATCTAATTGGACATGGACTAAACTTTAGGTGAGGAACTACCCTAATCACAAACACAGCGACATGCTCCATGTTGTGCTTCAGGCGTTTTCGAACATGTTACAAGCCTATGTTTCAAGTGTTTCTGTTGTTTCAGTATGTTTCAAGAATTTTATCTGGACGTTGCATATGCGGCTATGGTTATACATGCATGTTTCAAGCGTATGTTTCAAATGTTTCAGACTTATGTTGTAAGTGCTTTATCTGGATGTTGCATATGTTACTATGGCTATAAGTCATGTGTTCAAGAGAGCATGTTTCAAGTGTTTCATCTATTTTTAGACGCATGTTGCAAGTGTTTTATCTAGATGTTGTATATGTGACAAATGTATGTTTCGAATGTTTCATCTGTTTCAGGCGTATATTATAATTATTTCATCTGAATGTTGCAAAAGTAGATCTGGATGTAGGGGTGGAGGAAGCCTAAAGCCCTCGGTGGTCCAGCTGTTGCGGCTCGATGGTGTGACGAAGGTGGAGGCCGTGGACACAAGAGCAGCAGGGATGGGATGCCGTTAAAGATGGCAATGGGGACCCGCGACCCGATACCCGACGGGTATTTACTCTATTAGGGTCTAAATATGAATTAAACACACTACCCATGGGTACGTAAATGGATCAAACCCTTCACCCATCGGGTACGCGGGTATGGGTATGTTACAGCAATCCCCGTACCCGTTTACCCATGGGTGAAAAATACCCGGCCCAAAACTAAATAAGCCCACCAGCCCATGTAAAACCCTAAGTTCACCCGCCAGTCCCGCCTGGCGACTTGGCCGCTGGAGCCCTCGACTGCTCGAGGGAGGCTCGACGCCTAGCCTCTCGCAGCCGAAAAAAATAGGCGCGTGAGTAAAGCGCGTCGTTACCTCATCTCGTCTCGGCGCTGGCAGCCTTGCACCGCAATCACCACTCACCAAAAAAAACGCCGCCGCCATCGGGAAAAAAACTACCCCTTTTGGCTATGTAATATAATGATTTATGACATAATGACTTTGTGTGATGGTGTAATGTGACGGCTGGTTGCAGAAGATATTATTATATGCTATTATTTGTCTAATTTTATATGCTCTGGTTAGTAGTGGTTGCTGTTGAATTTTTTATTTTCATGTGCGTGAATAAATTATTGGCGGGTACGGGTGACTCGTCGGGTATGATTTACCCGGCCGGGTATGGGTCTAGAGAAAATTTCCCACCCATGATAGGTATGGGTTATTCTAGTGGTACCAAATTTTTATGGCGGAGATGAGTCTGGAGTGGCCATACCCGATGGGGATTTACCCATTGCCATCCTTATCCTTAGATGCCGTAGCAGATCGGCCGGGATAGGTGCGGGTGCGGCGCACAAGCGGGATGGGATGTGGGCTTCCATTCTGCGTGCGTCGGACGCAGGCGCGGGAAGGTCGGTCTGGATGGTTGCTGGAGTGGGGATGGGCGGCAGGCGTGGGCGTGGGCATGGGAGCAGCGTATGGACGGACACCGCATCCATACATCTGGATGCTAGTTCCCTCGTTTTTTAAAAAAAACTATCCGATATTCAAAATTAGGAGTTTTTAAAATTTAGCTACAAGCTCGAGTGGCAAATCAGACTTTACTAAAATAAGCATTGCATTACCTACCCAGATCTTTGCTGCACGAGAGAAATTGGGATCGCATTTCTGTTGCAGTGGATTGCCGTGCCTGCCTCGTTTACATTTGCAATCATAAGAGCCCTGTGTGTTGTGACAAACCCCGTAGCACGGATACTTCTCCGGGTGCAAGCACTCGTCAATATCTGCAAGGATGCATCATGCATGACTCCGAAGTCATGATTATTTCGGTGGACATATATAGTGGTGAAAGTAGTTTCCTGCCTGCTGCATGCTTACCGGTGCATCCATCGACTCGTAGCCGTGGGAGCAGTTGCATGTATACCCAGGGCCATTCACAGCATCGACGCAGCTACTATGCTGGCTCTTGCACGCGTACGATGAACTGCTGCTCTTCATGGCGTCTGAACAGGTGAACGCCGACGCCCCGTTGGGCCGGATCGCCCAGTCGAGCCAAACCGGCATCTTCCGCTTCCTGTCCATCTTAAGGTCAGCGGTGCGGAACGTGTAGCTGTTCCTCTCTACCAGGAATCCGTAGCTACACGGGCTGAAGTCGTAGATGAGCCGGCGGACGGCCAGGGACTCCTCGTCGTCGGTGTCGACGCCGACGGAGTTATCGGTGAGGTCTGGCCGGATGTCCACCCTGCAGCAGCCAACGCCGGCGCAACGGCCGTCCCTGACGACCTCTGCTCTCCTGCAGTAGGAGACGCAGCCGGTGTAGTACTCGTAGGGGTACCCAGCGCTCCTGCTGCTGTTGGGCCGGCTCTGGATGTACGCCGTGACGTCGCAGCCGACGACGAAGAGCTGGTTGTACGCGTCCGATATGCGGAACACGCCCTGCGGGTTGAACCTCACGGGGGCTTGGGATTCGTACGAGCGCCGGTTGCCGGGCCTGTCGTAGCAGGTCCAGGCGATCGGCAGCTCCACTCGAGCACCGGCCGGCACCACGGACAGGTTCAGGACCTTGTAGCCCGTGCCGGCGAGGAATGCAACGCTGCTGCCGTCGCACGTGATCTCGAAGCCGGGGCGGAAGCAGTTGGCGCCGATGCCAAAAGGGTAGGGGACATCGACGCGGCCGCATGTAGCTTGGCAGCCGGGCAGTGCCCAGTCCTTCGCAGCGTCCGACGGACGGCGCGGAGGATAGCGTCATGAGCACGAGCAGCAGCAGTGCCGACACGGAGGATACCATAATTCCCGTGGCTACCATGGTACTCACACTAGGCTTCTGGTTTCCTTGGCCGCAGTTTCCACAGACCCGGGTTTATTACATACTACCCCCGTTCCTAAAATAATTACGGTTCTCGCTTCCCAGTAAATAAGTATTTTTGGCTCTATTCGTGTGACCTTATAAGCCAAAATCAGCCATACTTTTTCAATCATGGAACATTATTTTTCTCTCACAACAAATCAGTCCTACAAATCAGCCGCAGCAGCAATAAGTCCTGCCGAACAGAGCCTTTTAATTTTGACCAAGCATATACAAGAAAATATTAATATTTATAGTATATAATTAATATCATTAGATAAATTATCGAATCTATTTTCATAACAAACTTATTTAGAGATATAAATATTGCTAATATTTTCTATAAATCTAGTCAAATTTAAGAAAACTTGACTGACACGTATACATTAAGATTTTTTTTTAATTTTAACCCTTTTTTGAATTTAATTTTAAATCTAACACTATTGGTTTTTTTATTTTAAAACTAACACTTTTGGCCGCGCCTATTGCCCTGGCGCGGCTAAATACCTATGCCGCGCCATGCATGGTGACGCGGCAGAGGGCTGACGTGGCGACGACCGGAATCACGATCACGACGGCGTGGTTTGGGCTGCCGCGCCACCACCGATCTTGGCACGGCGGACGCGCGCCACACTGATGATGGCGGCAGCAGGACGGATTAATTCATCGGCCGGACGCTGCATGACGCAGAGAACCTTCTTGCTCCGCCACGCGTCTTTGCGTGTCTTTGCCCCCCATGTCGCGCGAAACATGGGGCCCCACGTTTCTCAAGAGGTAGCAAGAGGTAGCGCGGCCTGCTATGATGCGTCATACGGAGAGGGTGTGCACATGCTTCTGACCGCACGACGCAGCTCTAGCGTGTAGCAGTGCTGTGAGTGTCCGGCAGCAGCAGTGCCCATGCTTTAGGCCCTGTTTGGTTACTATAGAATCTCCTAAAATTTCTGTCACATCAAATGTTTGGACACATGTATAGAGCATTAAATATAGACTAATTACGAAACTAATTGCACAACTTGCGACTAATTTACGAGACGAATCTTTTAAGCCTAATTAGTCCATGATTTGACAATGTCGTGCTACAGTAAACATGTGCTAATGATAGAATAATTAGGCTTAAAAAATTCACCACGGAAATTAGTCTCTATCTATGTAATTGGTTTTTGTAATTAATCTATATTTAATGCTCCTTATTAGTATCTAAACATTCGATGGGACCGACTGCACGCGAGCCCGCCTCGTCGCTCTACTTCCTCCGCTTTGCACGCTCCCTCCTTCGCCATCGCTCCTTTCTCGCTCACGCCG